TAATTTTATTTCAGGAATAATGCAAAATCTGCATTGCACAATTATTTGTTTTGATTATGGGGGATATTATATGAATGATGGGGCTGGAATAAAATGGATCTCGGTCGATGGTGAAGGAGAAAACGAAATTCACGCGATTGTGTTGAAGAAATCAGTGGAGCAGGTCATTTACTCTAATTTGGTTGAGCGTATATGCTGAGGAGCCAGAAAGTTCATATTCAGATGACTTCACATCATAAATGTTCTGAGTTTGATATAATTAAGTCAGATACTAAGATATTTCTGATTAAATGCTGAGGAGCCAAAAAAGACTGCAAGTGGTTTGTGTGAGTAGCAAAGTTAAAGAATTCAGATCTTTGGACGGTTAGATGATACATCAAGCATCATACATGTTATGTTGTTCACAAGAAAAATGTCTGATAAAGAGGCTATTGATATAGGAGTACTACGTGTTATTCAAACTACTTAGAACTACTTAAGGCTATTATGTGTTATTCAGACTACTTAGAATTACTTAGACTACTATGTGTTATTCAGACTACTTAGAATTACTTCAGACTACTTAGAAATATTTGAACTACTATGTGTAATATGGACTAATGGTACTACTTTGAATTATTACTTGTAATATGCATGTTTCTAAAAAACTTATATTTTCGATGTAACTTATTATTTGTTTGGTTGTTTTATTATTTGTTTTTATCAGATGTAACTTATATTAGTTGTATTTATATGTCTATATCTCTATAATATTATTTGAGAAGTCAGTTTCCTACGTGTCGCGTTCACGTTAACTCTCGCGATGGTTGATTACAATGATACCCTTAATGAATTATTAGATTTTAAGATTATTATTAATTTTTTATTTAGTTTTCTTTTTACATTTTTCCAAATAACATATATAATAAAAAGGAAATATTTCTAAAATTTTAAAACAAATTTAAAAACGAAAAATATATGTATATAATATGACTTTATTAAAAAGGAAAGTTGACAAAATAGTAATACCCCCATTAATATATATTTTTAAATAACATAAAATATATTTTCAAAATAATAAAAATATATATGTTCATGACCATTCAAAAATTTATCAGTTACACTATTTTCTAATATTTTTAAGAAATCAACATATAATTTGATAAATATTATGAAAATACATGTATATTTAAGCGATAAATAAAAATAATTTGATTTAAATCAACTAAAATAAAGAGTAAATAAACATTATGAAAATACATGTATATTTAAGCGATAAATAAAAATAATTTGATTTGACTTAATTCAAATAAAAAGTAATTATACTTCAATTTTAATTTAAAAATATATTTAACTCAATATGCTCACAAAATGAATGACTCGACTAATCTAATATATATCCAAAATTAAACATCTAACTACAATAAGAACATATAATTTTAAATAATAATAATAATAATAATAATAATAATCTATTTAATTTATACATATAAATTAGAGGTTGACTCAAAGCATATTAAAAAGAAAAATAAAATATTAACCAATTACAATATAATTATTTTGTAGAATTTATATATATGCATGAGACTTCAAAATATTATCATTATATTCCTTTATGTAATTTTGAATCAAACACTTCAGTTTATTATTTATTTCATTTTAAGCACAATATATATTAAGTTATACATAATTTAACTATAATATATTTACATATCTAAGACAATAACCAACCGAAATGAAAATAAGAAAATTAATCAAAGTTTTATTATATTTAGAATAAAAAATAGTATAGCTAAATTCGAAAAATAGATATTATCCCATATACCAAATTGATAACCAAACCGACTATTGATCCAAAAAATAATTAAACCAACAATGATATATCTAAAGTCATATGTATAATTAGAATAATATAATATTTATTAATATAAATTATACATATAAATTTATTCAAAATTAAAACTAAAACTAAATAGCAATTAATTATTATAAAACTTTACTTTTATGAATATTTATACCCGTGCATGAGCACGGGAAAATCACCTAGTATGTATTTATATAACAAACTAGACATAAAACTATAAATTTCTTATGTCCATAGAAAATTCTTCATTTCCATACAAAACATCCTTGTACTTCTATGACTAATGTCTTTATGTTAAGGCCATAATGAGGTGAAAACACACAAACTACATTTTTGTTAAATGTTTTTCTACCAATGTTTTATATTGAATCTTAAACTGTCTAATTAAATTGGTTTTACTACAAAAGTTTTGTTTTTTATGTGGTATTACTAATAAATGTTAAAATTTTGCAAAAGTATTACTATGAACAATGTAGTACTACTACAACCATGGATATTAGTAAGTGTAAATATGTTGAGAATATTTTACACGTGTTACATGTTTTAGATATTATTAATTTTTATATCTAAAAGGGAAGTAAGTGAGGTCTCTTTTATCTTCCTAGGTGTCTAATGACATCTCATCATATCTTTCTTTATTGTCATTGTTGTAAACTTCACCCTTTTGGATAAAACTCTATCCTTTTGGATAAAACTCCATCCTTTTGGATAAAACAGTGTTATAAAAAAAATTAATTTTTAATATATCCACCCTGCTTTTTCTTCCTCTATGTATTTTCTACACTTTTCCTCCTTAGGTTCTTTTTCAGCATCCTTGATCTCTGCTTTTTATTGAACCTTTTCCCCTTTAGCCTCTTGTTGAATATTTCCCCTTTCATGGACACATCAATTCCTAACTGAAATTAGTAGCTAAGTCTGATCCAAGAACACAAAACAAACAAACTTAATTTATTCTATCGAGTTTGTCCAAATATACACCTTATCATATTTACTTTGGGCTAACATTGTATATAAGACCTCGCTGATAAAGAGTGTGTGATCTTCACTATATTCTTCACCCTTGCTTATATACTCGGCGACAAAGAGTGAATCTGATAACTTTCTTGTGATTGCCCCAGATTTCAGAACACTACAAGAAAACAAGACATATTCTGAGGGAAATTCCAACGGAAAAATATATCTTCGGAATATACTGATGAAATTTCGACGAAATTCTGAAGAAACGCAATTTTTATGTTTTCTCGGAATATTTCGACGAAATTCCGAGGAAACAGGAATTCATCGGTATAATCTGACGTTATTCCGAGGAAACAACCTTCTCTCGGAATATACCGACGATATTCTGAGGGTTAATTATAGCCGTTATCGAGCCGTTCGAAAAGTTTAACAATTCCGACGAAATTCTAATGGATATTTATAACCGTTGTATAGCCGCTGGGAAATTTTAAATATTCAGAGGAAATTCCGATGAATATTATATTTCCATCGGAATTTCGTCGGAATTGTCGGTAACCTTTCATCTATAAACACAAGCACCCCCCATCCTATTTCATTCACTCAATATTCTCATCCTCTCATTTACCATTTACAAACGAATCTGGTTCATAAAAAACATGTATTCTTCAAATTATTATCGTTCGTGGATGGATCGACCTCATTTGGATCCTGACATGAAATTACTTACCGGAAGAATACCTAAAAGGTATTAGGGAATTTATGGCGGTAGTTCAACGACAACCGGAAGCAAAAAATAGAAAGGTTATAAAAGAGTGGGATGTTTGGACTCATCTATATTTGAACGGGTTTACACGTAGTTGCAGAATTTGGTATCATCACGGGAAACTGATTATGAATATGGTAGTACTAGCGAACCTCATACATCGGATAGGGTAGAAAAACCAATTAGAAATGATGTAGATTTTGGTGTAGGTACTGAGCAGATGGTAAATGATCATTTTAGAGGGGAAGAATTACCCAATGCAGAAGCTAAGAGATTTTTTGATATGTTGGATGCAGGAAAATAACCTTTGTACCAAGGTTGTAGAGATGGTCATTCACCTTTATCATCTGCAACAAGACTGATGGGCATTAATATTTATTATAATTTGGCTGAAGAATGTGTGGTTGCGATTGCTGATTTTGTAAAATGTATTCTACTAGAGGATAATCTAGCCTCGGGTTCATACTACTAGGTTCAGAAACTCGTAGCTGGTCTTGGCATTTTCACCAATGGACTAGTGACATTTTCAATAGAGTTACTAACACAATTAATTTTATTTGGTATTGATTGAATATGAAAAAAAATCTTTAAAATTCCAAAAATTGAAAAATAAAGAAATTTTTTATAAATTAATTTTGAAAATGAAAAATCTTCCAAAATTTTCATTTTCTTTTAAATTCCAAAATATTAAAAATTCAAAGAAAATGGAAAAATTGAAGTTACAATTATCAGCTACTATTTAAAATCACACTCAATTTTTATAAATTGTTTTTTTTTAAATAAAAAATTTGGAAGCTTTTTGATTTTAAAGAAAAAAATATAATTTTAAAAAAAAAATTAATTGCAAAATTAATTTTATAAAATTTTATTTATTTTTAAAATTATTTTGGAATTTTAAAGATATTTTTAAGTATTTAGATATTTTTTATATTCAATCAATATCAAATAAAACTAAATGTGTTAGTAAATCCATTGAAAATGTCACTAGTCCAATAATAAAATACCTTGCCATATGATCCAACCAACCGTTGTTCGAAACCAGAGATCTTCTTATTTTTAATTTTAAATCATGTAAAACGACGTCGTTTCACTTAACGCCAACATTTAGTTACAAGTTTTTTTTTTTTATAATTTGTGCAAAGTTGTTGTTTTTTTTGACCAAATTCCCATTCTTTTTTGCTCTTGTAATGGAAATAAATCATTTGCCGTTACTGTGTAAAATAAATAAATGTAGCCAAATTATTGACAAAATGTATAAAAAAGAATCAATTACTTGGCTCTTATAAATGTGTCGCTTGATTCCCTTTGCTGATTTGCCTTAGCATTACGCCACTAGGCCCATAATTACGTAGACAAGCCTCAACATCTAGCAGCGGTTATCTGGTCAGCGTGGGAAAAAAAATGTTGTTTCAACTATTTGCTGGGAACATTATTTCACGTCATATCACTAATGAATAAAAAACACATTAAGCTTTATATTTAAATTTCCCAACTAAAATATCATCCCAACAAATAAAGAGTACAATAAAATCTATCGTCGGGAAGTTGACTGAGCAGTGTATAATCTGTGAAGTCGTCGTCTTCTTCGGTATCTCCAAGCCACTTGTATTTGCGTAGCTGCTCGTAGCCTCCAATACGGAGACTCGTATCTTATGGCTCCTAGCACTCGATGGCTCCGTAGGAATCTCGAGAACAAGCTCGTTACGTCTTCAAGATCTGCTACACTCAGCGAAAACGCCTCCACGTTTGTCACACATCTAACACTTCTGTTGCTAACCAACCCCTTTAGCGGCAACTTTATGCACCTAGTCCCATCTTCAAGTTTCAAAAACATGTTTCAACTTTCTTAACGCAATAAATTGGAAGTTACAAACACATAGTAAATATAGCCAAAGCTGTTAGTAAAAGGGAGGTACCATGGTTTACAGAAGAGCGTTCGAGGCACCAAATGAGAAGTTCTTCACCACACACATCACCTTCTGATAAAGAAAACACAGAACCGTCTTCTCCAATGCTCTCCATCTCACCTCTCACTATGAATACCATTTTCTCAACTAGACTTCGTTGGTGCAACACCGTGCTACTACTTATGTACGTCCTCTGTTTCAGCCTCTCACGTATTGAATCTAAGATTGATTCATCCATCAGCGAGAATATTCTCACCTGCAAACCCCAAACAACACTTCAAAACCTTATGGTTAAGTATCATAAATGGTTTATCATGTTTACAGTTAGTTTTGGATGTATTATGCTTATTACCTTCTTGAGAAATTTGAAGAGATGACGTTTTATATCTCTCCGGAGATCTTCAGGCATATTCTCAAAGAGCAATTCCTCGTTAACTCCTCTAGTCGCTGCCCAGTTGAACCGCTCTGCCTCTCGCACCCTCCTGCATTTTGTTTAACAAGCCACTTAGCTAGTTTTATTGACCGTCGTCCCATTACATAGCATGAGAACTCAAATGTATGACCAAAAGACTATTCAAATGAGAAGCAAAGTTGCACAGACTTTCTTATATCTTCTGGCAACAATCTATGGCTCATCCACTGCTCCACATCACGCCGTCTCAGCATCATTTCCATCCTCCTAAAACAGGACAAACACAAATCATCATCTCACTTCGTGAATTAAATGTTTTTTTTTTCTTTTAAAATATATTTACCTTCGATCAAGAGCTTGAAGGAAGTTGTGCATATTACCAATAAGCCGTGCAAAAAGCAAAAGCCCTAGTCCAATGATACCCATTGTAAAGAAAACCTCCCCCACTGAGTAACTTGGTGATAGGTTTCCAGCAAGCGTGCTTATTTGCTTTCATAGTTGCAAACACATTAGTTAAGAGTGATTTAAGAGAGCTAATAGAGCTTTAAGTTACCTGGAATCCCCAAAACAGAGAGTAACTGAATCTTGTGAAGATACTAGGTTGAGTAGTAAGATTCACTGCCTTCACATAGATCCCATAAGAAAAACCACTCTCTTGAAAACAAGCATTGACACTCGCATCGTTTCTCCATAGAGCTCGTTGTGACGCCGATGAGTAGATGTTCCCACGAGCACAATCTATAAGATTCCTAAGTTCATCCACCGAGTTATTCCTAGCATGCAACAAGCACTTCTTTACTCTCTGGAAAAAGAGAGAGAAGAATCAGTAAAACTACTCGGAGTTGTGAAAACATAGGCTAGGCTGATACGGACACTCGCCACTAATCTGTATCCATCTTGGTGGGTGCCAGGATACACCGGGTTATTCAAAACATACATAATAAAGTATTTCTTAAGAAACTGAGTTATATACCTCAAGTCCTGAAAAATACCAGCAAGATCCAACAGCATGACCAGCAAGCATGAAGGTAAGAAGATTAATAACAAAGTTAGCCCAAGCCGACTCAAATATGAACCCTGTAGGTGTTTGGCCAGCAAGAAGAGGAAGAAGCCTATACAACTTTGGAATGTATTGTATTAGAAATGTGCTGCGTATAATGTTTCTCTCAGATCCTGCCGTGGATGTGCCTAAGTGTGGTGGTAATATCGATAGTATCATTATCTGAAAAACAAAGGTGAAACATACGGTTAAAAAAAAAATTGACAGTACTCAAAGAAACATTTCAAGGGTTGATAATAGTACAAAACCTGTGGAATGGGTAACACTATGAACATGTCAAGTAAAAACTTGCCTCGCAAGTAATTGCAAGCAATTTTTCTTGGATGATCAACTAACTGGCCAGCACCAACTATTCTAGACTCAGGAGCTACATAGGCCATTCGAAACTGCGACAAATATGACAAGAATAATAATTAAAGTAATTATACTTCTTTTCATAATGAGACAAGAGCAAAGGAGACACACACCTGAAGCAGAATGTTGATGAAGAATATAAGATCAAACATACTTCTAAGAGACACCAGTACGTTAGTCTTGGCCCAATCAATCTCTATGCATTTGTTGTCCTGAAGTAGTATCAAACTAATGAAAAAACATATACAGTTCAAACAAGAGACTGATAGAGGAAGAGAAGGAAGCATTTACATGTCGGATTAGTAAGAGGAAGACGAAGGTGGGATCTATAAAAATAGCCATCAAGCATGAAAAGGCTAAGAATCTAGTCCAGACTTGAACGAATTTGGAATGAGGATTCATGATTCCAGGTACGCATTTACTAACAGAGGAAGCAAAACCCTTAGCCCAACCTCTAGCATCATCATACAGAGCAGTGTGGAACTAAACAAGAAAAAAAGACAAAGACACTTGTATAAGTAACATGTCTAACACTTACTTGGGCGTCAAGCTAAGTAGAAGCATTATACATACATACCCTGGAGTTAGAAACTCTGGAAGTGTGAAATTCAGCAGGTTGGTGATTGTAGTAAGAAGGAAAAGTGGTACAGTAAGGTTCATTACACAACCCTAGTTGTCTAGATTTCAAGAGATTTGCATTTGTCAAGACGGATTCATCTTCAGATGGAACATCAACGGTAGAGGAGTAATCAGGAGGTTCAGTAGTAGAGTAAAGAGGACCAAGTGGAGGTGGTCTTCTCTGTGTTGGAATAGGGACTGTGTAGCCTAAAGCCACTTTTGAGTTGTCACATCCGTCAGCTGAATTTGAGAGGGAAACGCTACGGTTCTTGAAATTGAAAGCCCTGGTGTGAGGACGAGATGTTGCTTCTGGAAAGGGAACTTGGTCGTTTTCGTTTAGGGAAGCCATTCTCCAAGATGAAGAACGAGAAGCTGAATACCCTAAAAGCCTAGGGTAAGCGTGAGAAAGAGGCTAAGAGAGGACAGAGACTGAGTTTTTGGGTGTATAGCTCCGTCAAGACTTTGGTGTTAGTTTTATAAAGACAAGGAAAACATGGAAGTTTCGTCAAAATGAAAAAGAACGTAACATATTGGATTTTTGTGTAAGGATACCCATCAAAGAAACTTCAAAGGGTTTCGTTGAATCTTTTCGTTTAATATAAGTCAAGCAAAAAGGTTGGAAGAGGGAAAATCTCAAGAAGCTCCAACTTGTGTAAATTTTATTTTTGTTTTTATTTTATCAATTCACATAAATCACATCAATAACAGTAAAAAAATTTTTTTTTTCAAAACAACACACTGAGGAAGATCCCAAACTAACATGTATTGAAAAATAAATTACATAAAGGATAAATCATAATTTTACTTCCACTTCTCGATATTAACTCTTAAATTTTAATCACTAAACCTATATATATTGTATAATTTATCATTTTCATAGTTTTAAAATTATTAATTTATTAATTAATTATTTAGTTATAAATACGAGTTTTTTTAAATAAATGATATTTAGGAAATTTTATTTTTCTGTGTTGTTTTTAGAATAAGAAGTAAGTTTATTTTTTGAGAAGACAATAACGATTAACGAATTTAAGAGTGAATAAACAAAGCCGCGTTTCTGAAGAAAATGAAAGCAAATCCTTTTGAATTATTGAACCCTTCTTGGTCTGTACTTGAAAGTCATACCTTCACACCAAAAGCGACGTGAACTGGGTCCTGACTTTGCTCCGACTGTTGCCAACAGTCCGCCATAGTCCACTTCTCCTCATAATTTATAAAGAGAAAACATTCACAAAAATACTGAAATAGTTTCAGACAAAGGATTGTTCCTCTCTAAATCTAAATCAAAATTGGTTAGAATGTTTCCTATCATAGAGTGACACTGTGAGAATGACCAGAAGCTAAGTATTGATGTAGTCCCTTGAGTACCGTTTATGAGTGATAAACAAAGATAAGCAGGTTGTTCTTTGGGTCGTCTCTAGTATCAAAACAATTGTTAGTAAACTTGAATTATATCATGTGAATGATATATACAAGGTAACACTTGTTATACTAATAACCTATAACATCATACTTTGCAACTCTTCTACCCAAGTAGAGAGACATATATAGCAACTGTCTTGCAGAGACAAAAGAATTACCCTTAAAAATGACAGACATTTCATATTACAAAATATTTACAAATTAATCTAATTAATGATTTATTTTGTCTTTCTAGGTTTGGTGTTGATGGATGTGTCGCAACGAAGTTGTTGCCCCAGTTGACGAACGTCAGACCCAGCTGACTTAGCTCAAATAGCTCCATAGCACATATATTATTGGTAAGGAGGACTAACATAAGCACAAAAACAATTGCAGTCTCCGAAGGAACCAAAGCCAAGCTAAAACCATTTTTGCAATGTAAGCTTCAAAAATGTTTACCCATATAAGAACTATCAGAAACTGGATTTTACATCATCTTCCTAAAGGACTTGTAGACTCAAAAGGCACAAGATGTGTCCATTTCTCTTTGTATGCAACATGATGACCACAAATATTCAAGAAAAAAAAACGGATAAACCATATCTAACATACTAAAGTCTACACTACTCATCATTGAACAATGAACATAAACAATAGCGTTTCAGCAAATCATAACTGTGGATCCACGTCATCGTGTTTGTTCAAGAACCGGAAACCCATAATGTATCTGTACTCTCCTGTGCCAAGACAGCGAGAGCATTCACATAACCCACTCCCTCCACAGCTCCTGCACCTGTGACCAAACACTCAAAAAGTCTTTCTCAACCAAACACCAAAGATACAAGAACATCTTCTTACCATTTGGGCCACTCTCCTCTTGGAAGCATCTCCATATCCACACAATTTGTCCTCCCTTTGAATCATAACATCACAATGAGACACTTAAAGAGTTGAGAAAGAGTTTCATTTCGTTACCTTTCCCGCTACAACTAAAACAGTCCACTCTTCCAGTTCCATGGCAAATTACGCATCTGCCCTTCTCCTTTTTCCTCGTCTTAGCTCCACACTGTTAAATCTCAGAGCTCATAAGCTTATTCTCGTTTTCATATCAAACTCTGGAGATAGAAGTTTTCACCTGAGTTGTGACTATCCATGAAGGTTTGTTGAGATAAAGTCTCGATTTTTCCTGAGTAGGTTTCGAATTCGGAACTCCTTCCTCTCGCCGGACAGACATCGCCGCCGGCAGAGACAGACACGCGCTCGCCGACATCTTTGTGTTCTTCAGCAGACACAACTGAAAAAATCTATTTCCTTCTCTGTTCCTCTTTCATTAATCTAGTTTCGGATACTTTCTTAGGCTTAAGGCCCATATATATATCTAATGGGCCTGTTTTAGACTTGGCTCTCAAGTCACCGACATTGAGAATGCAAATATACAAAGTATAAACCGAAAATTGCTTAAAATCGGCTGTTGAAGTCATCATTGTTGTCTGTTGCTTGTAATAGTGTATGGACTAATCAATTGATGTTACTTCTTTAACAGTTCAGAATCATAATAGTACCAATTGGTGAGTTGTATTGCTTTTTTTCTTTTGGTCCAATGTACTCAAGATGTCTCTCTTGCATAATGATTTAGTTACAAGCAACCAAAACTAGATACATAACTTAAAAATATATTTAAAGACCAAAAATATTAAAAACAGAACAACTTCCATTCACATCAGCCAACCTCTTGACCATATAGTTAAAACCTCCATCTTCTCATTCTTTCACCACTTTTCCTGTTTGGTTCAAATTTGGAGGTTTAGGATCATAACCAAAAATTTACAGAAGAAGAAAGGGTGAGTCAATAGCCTTACAGTCGAAAGTAGCCCAGCTTGATGGTGGTGCTATGGTGGTACTTCTATTCTGATACAATTCTCCGGAGAATATCTCATTCTTTTGATTTGGTTTCTTAACTTCTCTCCCCAATGGTAGAGGTAGAGCATATAGATTCTCCTTCATATCTACTGAACCCTGCATTGCAGAAACAGTTAACGAAAAATGATTCAAGATCCTTCCAAGAAAGCATTCTTGATTCTTAACGCAATTTCCAAGAACTATCTATATACCAATCCAGTGATCATAGCCAAAAGAAGGATCCAGAAAGGAAGTTTTCTAAGATGCTATACCGCACGAATTCTTGTTTCTGGAGGTGTTATTTGAAGAGCATGCTTGAGAAGAAGATCTTCATCAAGGGAAAGAGTTCTTGTTTTCTTTGGAGTTTCAGGCTTATATCCGCTTTCTACCAAGTGACTTACTTTGCAGCTTAGCTTGGTAGCTGTAGGAACCGGTTGTATCCCTCCCGGTGAAACCCACTTCCTCTCATTGTATCTAAAGAAACACAAACAAAAGCAAACCAAAAAAAAAGATTCAAGCTAAAGAATCAGCAAAGGCAACAACACTTTTTAGCATAGGAAAAAAACAATTACTTGGCTCTTATAAATGCGTCACTTGAACTCCTCTCAAAATGAGGAGGCAACTCTGATTCCCAGTATTCATTTGCCTTAGCATTACCAGTAGCTACACCGAGAACAAGAATGATCACTAATTTGAATTGAAACTACTTAATGGGTATCATTATATTACTACAAAAAAAAAGAGGAGCTTACATTGCATGAAAGAAACCTGATCTGGAAGCCATGTATCCAGAGTTATAGACCTTACCTGTTTCCACACAAAAAAATAAACCATTAAATTAACTAATTTGCAGTATGATTCATGTTTCAACACAATGAATTAAAAGTAAAGAAACCTGAGAGATGTGGACACCGAGGCTGCGATGAATACCAGAGCATTGCATACATATGAATATTCCAAGGTTCACACTTGCCCATCTTGGTGCCCTGTAGATCCAACAAAACACACAAAAGCTCTTATCATTCTGTTTGAATAATGATGGAAAAAAAAAGAAGAAAACATGCTTACTTTGATCTACAATCTGCACATTCTCTATTGTCTGGTTTCTTTAAAAGTGCTTCCAGTATCTATAACACACACACAAACACATACACAAATCTCTAAGGAAACCATATGTGATGGGGGACAGTAAAGATCAATGATGATCATAGAAAACATGGAAACCTTTGAATGTTTGGCGTTGAGCTCCTTGGAAACAGAGGCCTTCCCATTCATTCTGATTAAAAAAAAACAGAGATAACCAGGGAGAGAGAAGAAAAGAACCAAATGGCAAAACTCAAAGGAAGATTGTAGCAGAGAGCCGAAGATGATGAATCTCAAGGAAGAACGGACTTCAAGGAGAGAAGAAGAAGGAGGAGAGTTTCTCGTACCCTTTTTATATCTTGAGACTACGACACCTCATCTCTCTATTTTTGTTTAAACAATTAATAAGCGGATGAGAAGACGTTAGAGAACACTAAAGGGTCAAAAACATAGCAAAGAAACTAAAACGAATTTGATTTCTCTTCTCCCACGTCATCATCATCATCAATCTCAACCGTTTACCACAACTTCTCCTCTCTTCTAACCTTAACGGGTCACTACCAAAAAACTCTGTTTCCACGTTCTCAACCCTCGCTAGTTTATCTCTTTACATGGTTCAAAACCAACTATTTAGAAAGAAAGAAAAAAACCCATTTTATACAAATACTACAATCATCATTACACTTCAACCATGCCTTTATTCATAACATATTAACCTTTTTTTCAAGACCCCAAACTTTGCAAAAACACATCAACTTTCGAATTAGTTGAAGCAGAGAGAAACTTCATACAAACAGGAGGACTAACACCAGCAATAGCCAACACCGAGCTCGGCAAAGACCAAATCCCATCTCCACATATCAAACCAGACGCCACCGCAGTTCCAAAAGCCTCAGCCTTCGCTGCATCAACCCTCTCCCAAACAAAAAGTATCAAACTCCCCACACACATGTCAATAGCAAAGTACGGCCCCAGGAAAAACGGTATAGCCATCGCCATAGGAAGAGGCACAAACCTGCCCAACTTACTCGGTAAACTATCTTTAACTATGTTCACAAGAATCGCTACACTGAAGAATCCATAACATAGGACTAGACACTCTCTTGGTAATGAAGCAACGCCTTCAACTCCAAGCTTAGCCATGCTTCGGTACACGGTGGCGAACGGTGCAGGGTACTCGCTGTTCGGGATGCCTAGATCGTCAAACGCCTTGTAGAACAGCCAGAACACGCAAGGAGAAACTATACATCCCATCGCTGTGCCGATCACTTGGGATACAAACATTGACTTGGGTGATGAGAGTGTGAGGTATCCTGTTTTGAAGTCTTGTGTGAGGTCTGAAGCTGTTGAGACTATGTTCATCATGACGCCACACGCTGCAAGACCAGCTAGCATCCCTCCGTGCTCTGACCCCGCCCATGCTCCTATTGTGAATATGGCTAGCTTTCCGTATGTTGAAGCTAAGGACCAGTCTGTTAGTCCTGCTCCGTAGGCGTTGCAGAAGGCTAGGATTGGCGCTGAGATGTAGATGACTAGGATGTAATACCATCTGAGCTGGTGGAACATGTGTGGGAGGATTGCTGTAGATGTTGCGGAGATGAGGATGTAGCCACCAACGGCGAACCATGTTGGGATTTGGTCTTTGAGGAAGAAGCGTGTACGACGTTGGTCATCATATGATTCTTTTGGGGTTTGTGGGGAAGCATGAGGGTTGTTGTCTTCTTCTTGGACTATGAAAGATCTTCTTGAAAAAGATGGAGTGTCACGGAGCTGTACAAATAGTCCTGATAGTGTTCTGCTCAGGACTTTGCAGAAGTTGTATAAGCCGTCTCCAAGGATTATAGCAACAGCTATGAACACCTGAAAGGTAACAACATTGTTACTATAAGAATAAGCTTTAAAGCAGGAGGATTCATTTAGTATTATACCTTGTAAGCTTGGAGACCATGCATGCTGCTTGGTTCAACATCTGCTGGAAACCAATCTCCTTTTTTTGTTTCAATGAGGGGCCACATTATACCCCATGAGAGTATTCCTCCCAAGAGAACAGAGATGTTGATTATGTATGGGCATATCATCCCAACACCCACATAGGTTGCTGAAAAATCAAAGTAGAACCTATTTGTACATCAGGCTCTCACCAGAAAGAAACAATAAGCCAATCTCTTTCTTTTTGAGTAAGTGAGTTGTTTTGTTGAGCTTACTTGTATTGATAAGCTTTGAGTCCAAAGGTAGGGAAGTTGGAGAACCCACAGTTTTCTCCACCGGTGAAGAACCACTGGAAGAAACTCCATAAGAAGCTAAAGGAGAAGAACTTCCCTAATACCCTCACTTGTTTCCTGATGCAGAGAAGCAGCATAGAGTTAAAAACAAGGAGAACTCAAGACTAATAAGCATTAAAGTGAAGTGAAAAGAGATAGTACTTGGCCAGCTTGGCTCCTTGAGGTGTGTGAAAGCTGTTGATAAGATGAGCAGTTGCTGTACCACTTGGGTATGTTAGTTTGAAGTCTATTACCATTATCTGCAAACACATAGAAACTGGTAAATGCAACATCTCTTCAACTCATTTTGGTTCATAATTAACAAAATTAAGACTAACCTTCCTCAGGGGAACAACTGAGAAAAGACCAAGAAAGCTGACAACAAAGAGGAAACCAATAATCCAACCTAATGAAGGGTTCTTAACACCACGAGCAACATCTCCTGATTGCTTCGCAATTCGCTCACTCATACCAAATAGGTATGTCCCAAACCCTCCTGTATATCTCACAAAGCTATGTCAAGACTCAACCAAAAAACTGATTTATAACTTAAGCATCTGAATCAGTACGAAGATGAGTGTTCTCCTTACCACTGAAGGCAATGCCGGAAGAAGCAACAACACAAGTCTGAATAACAGTATTCTCCTGGCGAGTAAACGGCTGTTTCAAGTATCCAGACCTATGAAGCATCTTTGTCCATGTCTTGACAAAGAAGAATCCCAGAAGACCAGCGGAGACATTGAGCGATGGTATGATTCCCGTTGTGAGGTTAAGCTTCATAACAATGAAGCTAAACAAGATGCTTAGCGCAAAACTCACCACAAAAGCTCTTAAAGTCAGCTGCTTTGTCCAAGAAGGTACTTCTCTGCTCTCAAAGATCTTCTCCACAGATTCTTCTTCTTCCTCTTCATCATCTTCATGCTTGTCAGATTCTGGACTAAACCCAACTTCCTGCAACTCATGTTCCACAACTCTGTCTTGATTCAGATACCCTTTTCTCATCTCTATGTTTGTCTCTCTGTTTCTTTTAGATCTAGAGGTGGTGAGAAAGTAAAGGACAGTATTATTTGAGAACTAAAATCAAAGGATGAAAGTTGTCAACTTGGACTCTGTTTTTCTAACATTCTGACAAATCAGATTGTTGCTTTGGTGTTTCTTTATTACTTAAGATTCTTTTGTCGGTATGTCTGTAAATAGCTAATTACCTGGAATTTAACTTTGTTAATGGTTTTATAAAATCAACATCATTAAGTTATAAACAAGTTCTCTTAACTCAGCCAACCATATCCAACAAGCTTGGAAATTTGATAAATATCTTATAATATAAAGTCATAAAACAGTTTCTTGAGTGCTCTCTCCAGACCACAAACTGAATAAAAAGTCTATACCTTTTTTTATCAAAAGATAATATTAGTTGAAGATAAGGAAAAGAATATGAGAAAACCAATGGTGTGTCTTTATTTCCCTATTTATCAACTCAAAATGGCATAATATTACTGAATATAAAATGAAAAAATAAAAAAAGGACCAATCTATAAATTACACGACATTCTAATTTACACGTGAGGATTCCATTCCTTACAAATCTTTTAAAGTTTTTAATTTTTTTAAGTAAACACTAAGAAACACAACGGTTCTTTAACCAGTGGAAAACGATTGTAAAAGTGAGAACATTGTATAGCAGGTCTTGAGAGCAGAGGGTGCAACTTCTATTGGACACGTGGACAAAAGTCTTGTCAAGTAGTTATATTGCAAGAAGAATGTTTTTTGCTCTACCGTTGAGTAAGCTCTTCACGTATTCTTCTGGCATGTCTCAAGTGAATAGATTGTTTTTCAAGAACAGAGACTCTGCTTCGGTGAGGGAAGGAGGTTACTCTCCAGCGGTAGAGTTATGGGTCAGGTCAACAGTGGATCCCTGAGGTAATGAAATGGTGGTGGTGTAACTGGTGTTGGAAATTGAGGTGAAGTTGTTTCTTTGTAGGAACATTTATGAGAGAGTGTGGTACCAAAGAGTGAGTCAGGGATGGGCCTGGTTAACTGATTCATGCTGAGGTCCAGGGGTGGAGGCAGAGAGAGAGAGAGAGAGAGACATGTGGGGAAAACAATTTTAATGTGTATTTTTCAAAAACTATTGTTATATTTAGTGAAAATTTGGCATTTGATCCCTCTAATTTATGTAAAAAAATTTCATGACCCCATTAATTAGTAAAAAATAAAATTTGTTGTAATATATATATATATATCTAATTTAAATATTAAATTTCTATATTATGACTCCGGTCAAAAATATTTCTGGTTTCGCCACTGTTGAGGTCGATTTATCTCTGTTAAGGTGTTGATGGTTCTTTACATTGAGATTTTGGATAGAGATAAGTACCGGAGAATGATGGGGAAAGAAGGAAGGTGGGAGTTGGCAGGAGATTCAGTTCATCTTTAGGTCTAAATGGAACAAGGGACTAGACACTGGTTTAAGGTTGTTGGAAATGGTTTGAGGCTAAAACAAGGACTTTGTGTGGACGAGTGTGAGCAAAAGAAGGAAGAAAGTGTAGCTCATGTTGTTGATGTTTTGAGTATCCTATTCTTTATACTAGTTGTATACTCCCCGCGCAAGCGCGAAGTCGGGATCATTATGTTTGCGTGTAATTTTTTCGATTGTTGGTTTAGTGAATTATTTTAATGACACCAAATAATAATGAAATGGAAAGAATGTAGTAAGGGTGTTAAGTGAAAATATTGTATATCTAATGTGTTAAATGTTATTTATATGCGAAGTAAGGTTTATAGTAATAGTTAGGCTATAATATAGTTTTTAGTGTGTAAACGTAAGTGTCTATTTTCTTTTCTTTTTGGTGTAAATAGTTTTTATATCGTATGTCAAAACTTGATATAATTCTATATTTATAGTATTTATATTTGTATTAAACGATTTAT